ATCTCATTAATTTCCTTTTTTTTTTGTTTCCCCCCTTCCAGGCCTCTGCAGCCAGGAGGGAGCAGAACACCGGATCCCTTTCTCCCTAGGAATCGATACCATAAAAATTGAGAATTATGAATATGGTAAAGAACCAGTTTATTAACTCCCCAATTCGTGGCCCCTTCAAGACACCCTGGATTTTGTTGCCAAAGACGGCCTTGTTCACTTGGTCTAACAGGACAACCGCCCTAGCTTGGTCAACTTAAACCCTATCAAGGCCAGCAGGGTTCAGTTCTGTCCCCCCCAAAGGTCCAACCGACTCTTGGGGACCCTAAAAGGGGCTTTCGAGGTGAGAGATTTAAAGAGTGGTTGGATCAGTTCCACATTCCCCCCCTAGGGGGCGACCTTGGCCAAGTGAAGATTCGAACTCAGGCCCTAGTCCATCACATGGTGACTTCTCTCCAAATAAAAGGGCATTTCGCCTTGCCAAAAGCCCCCTCCGGTTTCCTTGGTGTGCAGACGCCGAAACTGATCCTGCCCCTCGGCGTGCGGATGGGAACCCAACGGAAGGCTATTTTAAGATCACCTTGAGGGTCCATTTCCAGCTGGTGGCTGCCAGAGGGATCTCTCCTGCCACTAGTCCTGGCCGGATCCTGATCCAGCCAGCCTTTAAATCAGCTTTTCTCTCTTTTTCAGCCCCTTTCCTTTCCCAGTCTCACCAGGCCGGCTGCTAGAATTCCCCAAAGCGGATCCTGCTTGTCCTTTGGCCTGCCTTCGCAATGACCCCCCCCCTCTGTATCCAGACCCGCAATCTTGTAAGAGTCAACTCGGGCCCCCATATCCACGGGGGATCGGTCCCAAGCCTCCCCACCCCTTTGCGTATGCTGAGAAATGTTGATAATAACGAACGTTATTTTAATAGCGATTTCTCATGGTCTCTGGCTCCCCCTAGTGGCCAACTTTATTATTTGTAATATATATATTTTTGGAACGGCTCTTTCTATTATCTTCACACCATGTTGACGCCAAGTATTAGGAATTCATCATCATCTCAGAAGGGCAGAGCTGGATGGGACCCTCTATAACATCATCCAGTCTAGCCCTTGGCAAGAAGGTCCAGGGAGGGAATCGAACGCCTTAACATCTGGCACCACAGCCAAGGAACTAAACCACCGAGCTTGGAAAGGGAAGGATGATTAAAAGCAGCACAGGTCCGATTCCTAGTTGTTGGGTCTTTTTATTTTGTACACCTGTTCCACAGTGGGAAAACCACATTACACACAGACAGAGAGAGAGAAAAAAAAGCCCCTGATTGATATTACCTTCTGCTTCCTCTATACATAAATACTGTCATTTTATATATATATAATTTTTTTTTTTTAAAAAAGGAAATAAAAAAAGAGAACAATCTTGAAACATAGCTTCATCCCCAATCCTCAACAACACACAGGTGTCGGAAGAGCAAAGTGATGCTTTCTTTTTTGTAAGAAACCCCCCAATAAATAATCAAATATTTTCAGTTCTTGGGACAAGCTTTTCCATTCAACCCAACCTGCCTTTAAGGGTTTATAGATATATTTAAATGGGGGGGGAGTGGTTAAATAAAAGCTTGTACAAGCTAATTGCTACATTAACCTCATACTTTTGCCAGGCACCGAGTTTGCACCTCGAAACCCAAACGACGTCAGAAGGATTCACATTATACCCTCGGACCGTTCCGGGCCAATATGGACGCGGCCGTCTCTTCCTACAGGTTGAGATCCTCTCGAACTTAAAGCCCCAAGAAACACCCCCCCACAAGCACCAAATGCATCTGGAATAAAATGTAGGTTCTAGATTTTATAATGGAATGGGTTCTAGAAGAAGGAACGGAGGTTGGGAAGGGAATTTGCTCCTTAAAAAAAAAAACAACCACCACACACATAAAAAAAAGATTTTTTTCCTAAAAAAAAGAAAGGCGGGCAGGATCAGCCCCTTTGGGAACTACGGGGGCTTCACTGTTGGTGATGAGCGTCCTGTAATAACCAGGCGGGGGGGCGTTTTTGGGTTGTTTCTCCCTAAAAACTGGACATCGAGCCCATGGGGGAAAAAAAAGGAAGGCTTGGTCATCCAAAAAGATGATCCTTTCTTGAGACCGACGGCTTCTTCTCCACAAGACCTCTGCCCCCTCCCAAAAGAAAATGCCAACGGGATGATTCGTGGAAAGACAATCCTTAAAAGCACCAGGTTTGGAAAACCAAAGGAACGGGACGTGGCCGGTGCGTGATCTCTCCCGGTGGAACACGCTGCCCGCAACTCCGATTCATGCTCTTCGGTCCCTGGGACGATGTTGGCAGAGTTTCGGCGTTCGTCCATCTCGGTTTCTCCCCTTCCTTGCATTCATGGGACGACCGCACCTCAAGTTGTACCATGAAGGTATCGGCCACTTCCTACGCTCCCGGGACCATAGGGTGGTACAACAGAGAGGCTGCGTCGCGAGCCCCCAAACCTATCGCCTTATGGGATGACACTCTGTTCTATTCCAGTATCCCTCCCCAGCGCAAAGGCGAAACCTCACCGGCGACTCTCAGCCACAGTGCAGGAGTTGCTGGGTCCGGATTGGAGCATACTGGGAGAGTGTGCTGGTCGAAGGGTTTACGAGTTCAAAACAAGTCATCGACATGCGTAAGCAGCCACCAACAAGTTGAACCCAGGCTCCTGTCCGACCTCAGAGCCCCCCATCTCCCTACACCCCCCAAAGTGGACTGTGAAATTGATTTCGGGGTGCGGGTGGGTGTGTTACTGACGCCCAAGACAATACTGTATTAAATGTCAGAGAGGAAGAAACACACCCGGATAACATTGCTTTTAAACGCTCCGACATGTAATCCTCTCCGCGGATAGCCCTAGGGCTGGCCAGGGAATAATGGGAAGTCTTGGCTACAGCCCTCCTGTTTTCTGTTCGGAGGAAAGTTCCTCTCGAAATACACACTTTCCCCCGGCCTCTGGTTCTCTCTCATTTAGGGGAGGGTGGAAGAGAGAGGCCGGGAGCGCTTTCCGACATGTGTGCATTCCAAGAATGCTGCAATGCACCAAAAGCTGTGGCAGGCGCTCATGCTCCAGAGGTGTCTCTCTGCCAGGAAAACAGAATGGGCAAAATGAAGCATGAAGACACACACATGCACCGCCGCACCCCCCCCCCAATGCAACTTTGGGAGAGAACGAGAGGGAGCGCGAGGGGCAGAACCGCCTGGGAATATAAGGCTCAGCGCCTGGAAAACGGAGTCGTCAGACGATTACTCACAGTTGCCAAACTCCCCTCTTTCCCAGGTTCCACCAAGCTCCCGTTGGCCTTCACGTCCCCCGAAGCAACTCGACCGTCTTTGCTTTACAACCTGCCCCAAAACAGAAGTTTTCCCACTTCCAAAACCCTGTTTAGTTCTACTTCTGCCTACATTCAGCGTTTTTCCAGTGGCACAGAAGTGCTCCTGCCACCCACCCAAACCTGTACCGGGCGTCTCCCATGGCTATTTGAAGCTACGACTCTAAACCAGCCTGCCGGGATCTTTCTGCACCAAGCCACAAAAGAGAGGAAGAGGCCGGAGCAAAAGTCCGGTGTCCCAAAGACAACGGTGGATGCTAGTTTGCCATCCAAGACGTCTTTGTTAAAAAGCCCGTCCATTGCATGGCATCGGTTTCCTGGTTTACGTCAACGATCCCTCCCTTCACCCTGTGTCCCGAGAAAAGCTTCTCTCCAGAAACGCTTCCCACAAACTACCGCAGCGGCCCTACCTCTTAGGAATCCATCAAGTCATGCCACACTCCCTTCTCTCCCACCTGCTTCGGTTTCGCTAGAAAATGATAACAGAAGACTTCTCCCGCTCGGGACATCCTCAAATGCTACTAAGGATCTAACACAGATGATGAGGCTGGCAGGGGAATGGGTGGATTAGCAAGATTTGAGACCCAAGCAATTGGGGGGGGGTTAGGGTTAGGGACGGCTCCTTCCCGAGAAGGAGCCAACGTTCGTGGAGAAAACCTCGTAGAGCCTAGAAACCGGAACGCACTTTGCTGATGGGACCGACAACGAACCGTCCCAGAATCGGCTTAATTATGGATTGCTCTTCGAGACCTCCATCCTTTTCCTCCTCTCTTCACCAGGGCCGAGCCCGGCTCTCAAACATTTTTCAGAAAATGGGGGAGAGAACGTACAAATAATTCAAGGCTGAACTCGGCTTCATTGCACACGTTCAGAAAACCTCGAGGAAAATGCATAGCGTCCTTAAAGTTACAAATTTGGCCCATGCCATCCAGTGGGCAGGAGGGAAGACTATGCCATCGGCTGTTGGCTAGCCACTTGGCTACGGAAAGTCCTATTTTGTTCCTATGGTGGTGGGCAAATTCTCCTATGCTCCCCCCACTTGGGGTGGGGTGGGAGATAGATAGATAGAGATATATATATATAAAATTTTACATACACAACGCTTAACCTCTTTCACATTTGGAAGCAGCCTCCTCCAAAATCCAACTGCAAGCAACGTTCCTTGGAGTCAATTTTCCGAAAAAAAAGAAGGGTTAGGAAAAAAAAAGAGAGAGGAAAAGCTTAAAAAAGAGGCCACCACCGGACACCCACCCAAACTTCCTGCTAGGCCCAGGGAGAGCCCAATGTCCTTAAGCCAGAGTAAGTTGCCTTTTGAGATGTCTTGCTTTCGCAACGTTAGGTCTCCACTCGCCCCCTCCCCCCCTCCCCCGGCGTTTCCGCATCAGGAAGCTCGTTTCGCTCCCTTAAGTAAATGAGCAATAAATTAGAGTTTGTCTGAAAAAGTGCTGCTTTGCCCTAAGAAGTTGGGGGGGGGAGTGGCTGAGGGGGGAAGAAGAGGAGAAGGCAGGGGGAGTCCTCGGTCCATCACGCAGCACTTTCTCGCTCCCCTCGGGGCTCCGAGGAGCCGTTCACCACCTTCTTGACCTTCTTCATGCCCTCCATCACGCCAGATGTGGTCACCCTGGGGAGGAGGAGAAAGAGGTAAAGAGTTTGCCCTAAGAAGTTGGGGGGGGGAGTGGCTGAGGGGGGAAGAAGAGGAGAAGGCAGGGGGAGTCCTCGGTCCATCACGCAGCACTTTCTCGCTCCCCTCGGGGCTCCGAGGAGCCGTTCACCACCTTCTTGACCTTCTTCATGCCCTCCATCACGCCAGATGTGGTCACCCTGGGGAGGAGGAGAAAGAGGTAAAGAGGCGGCTTGGGGAGAA